CCCGCTTCATCACCGGAAATATAGACACGCTTGATTCATGTGAAAGAAAGGAGCAATAATTACAGAAAATAAATACACATAAAAAAAAAAATAAATACCCGATGTGGTTGCTCAAACTAAAACCGGCACTTAACATGTTAAAACCACATTGATCAACACCCACCCACGCACACAACAGATAGAGCTGAAGACTGGCAAGCACAATCACTCGCATGCAAATAGAAAGAAACGGATTGCGTGACATGGCTTCGCAAAGCATGTAAAAGCGGCTCCACTTTCACCAGAACTCAAATCAAAATAACAGCTTTCGGTTGGATAACGTGGCCGGCCGGGAATGCACGAGGGGCGGGTGGGGAGAACGAAAGATCAAAGCCGGAGAGCCTCAACCATGATTGCGTGCACGAAATAAATGATGGCCGACACAGACATGCAGTTCCACACATTCACGCCGGCGTTTGTGTCATCAGCAGCCACGATCTGACACTAAGCTAACACTTAGCCTCGCTTCTTTGCTTTCTTTTTCTCCGTCCGCGTTTTCTTCTTTGTATTTTTCAACCATCTGGGTGACCTGTGGCACCCCCGCCAGGTCAATCTTGGTACTACAAGACAGTCGGTTTGGAGGAGTGATTTGGTGATGGTTGACTGGTTTGACTCTGCCACTGGGCAATGAGGATTAGAGCAAGAAGCCGTCAAAAACAATAAAATAAAAATCAGCTGAGACGTAAAAAATCCGTACGTGTGTAGCCTGCTTGAGAATGCATTTACAGTAGAGCTCAAAGTCTTCATGAAGACAAATGGGGGCAAAAACGTCCAATCACACGTTCCTTTCTGGGACTTTCTCGGACGCCGCAACTACGAATTTGGGCTCAAACGTCTAATTAAAGTTCAAAAAGCTCAGGAAAAGAAGATTTTCCGAGGAGGAAATTTTAAGAAGTCGAAATGTAGTTTTATAACCTGAAGCCTCTCAGATGTACTGATTAACGTTTCCCTTTTATGTTGTCGGTAATATGTGGGCGCCTGCACTGCTGGATGTCTCGGTTCGTGTCAGGACAAGTGACGCTAAAACGGTTTGAGCGGCAGTCCTCCGAACCAATTAGCGGGCGTCGCAGAGTGACGATTCCGTTTCGCTAGCAGCTAAGCAGCACAAATGGATTGTTTAACTACTTGAGGTCGTACTGATTACACATCCGTACAAGATGAAGGCAAACGGCGGAAGCCATGCAAGCAGGATTTTTTTCCAAAAGGGAAGAAAACGGGAACAGAGAAGACAAGTGACCCGAAAAAGCTGGGCCGACTCACTCATATTCTCCTCCTCATCCATATCCATGGTGACGGGTTTGTCCTGACCTGAGAGCTGCCTCAGCGCCGCGGCACCTGCAAATCAGAGAACAGGACAAGCGGACGGCTTGAGTGCCACGTACAAAAGCGCACGCGCTGATTCGAGGGTAGCGATTTGCATTGAGTGGCGACAGACGTGTTGAGTTGCGGTGAGCCCTCACGCAAATATATTCACGTTAAGAAAACGTTGGGACTTTGACTTGACGTTGTTTCCCACTGCGCAATAGCGCTATATAAATCAGCATGTATTGTATTGTATTGTATTGTACTGCTGGCTGCCGGTGCATTCAGTGCCAATGTAACAATAATAAATGTTACTTTGTCACTGCGGCATTGCAGACACATGTCCCTCGCCTAACTTGTTGTCGCTTGCAATTGTCTCAAAACCAGAAGCAAGCGGCGACTTTCGATCTTGAGGAGACACGAGGCTCCCGCAGAGCAAGGAAGAAGCTGACTTTCATGACCCCTCTCCAAAGCGGTCGAGAGAGCTTTAGGCTCCAGTTATATTCAACACTTTTTATCAGTGCCTAATTTTCAAAAAAATAACAGAGTGGGGACCGAGCAATTAAAAAGATAAAACAAATAAATAAATAAAAAGACTGACCAAATTTGGACCGAGGCCCAACAGCGACAAATTATATCCACCACCTCAGGGAAATCACCCAGCAGGGGCTTTGGCCACAAGAGTCAGGCCATACCCCCAAAAAATGGCCTAAAGTCAAAGCAAAGGACTGAAATAGCGCAGAAAGGTGGAGTTTGATGGTTTGCTGTGCGCTCTCCCTACGCCATCGTTAAAAGTACAGAACTTTAAAAGACGCCGTGGGAGAATGTTTCTGACTTCCAGCTGAACAACTTGAAAGGTCACACAAAAGAAAAAAAAAGAAAAAAGAAAAATAGTGCTGAGTGCCAATTGATGCAGCCGACTAACGTAACGTTAAGGCGGCAGAAAAATGAAAAGACAGAGAGGCGAACGGCACAAAAGAGCGAGAAAGATGGCATTACGATACCGAGCAGATTGTGCAGATTTCACTCGCGCTGCGCTCGCCTTCCATCACTGCCCCCATTCCTCAGTCAGACACTTGCCTAAGCCCAACCAAATGGGCTAATTAATCTGGCCTAATGGTGGGTGACAGTAAATATGCTAGCACAATTATCACCCGATTAAAGATTCATATTCCGAGGCCTAATTGAAAATGAAAAGGTGGGGTGAGGGGGGTGGATTGGGGGGGACGGCCCAGCCGAGCGGAACTCGCAAGATTCATTTGAGTGCGAGTCAGCCGCGCCCCACCCCTCGGCTGCTCCGAGCCACGTAGCACACTCGCTGTTCGACAAGGCGCTTACTTGCCCGTTAGCACAAACACGCAGAGTGCGTCCAATGGGTTGCTTTGACCTGCAAGCGGCTTCGTCAACGTCAGCAACTGGACATGTGATGCGGTACGTCACTTTGTGTTCTTTCGTAACGTCCGTCCACATCAGATGGTGGCCAAGTCTGATACGAATCGTATCAGCTGATCATTTCAATCAGGTGGTGTTGGAGGAGGGAGTCATCAAAAATAGGCTGGATGTGGGTTCTATAAATGGATAAGTTTTGGGGGTGATTGCTATCAGAATGTGCAGTTCAACAATTTAAATCAAAGCAATTGATGATCACTCGTGGCGTTCCTCAAGGGTCTGTGCTAGGCCCAAAACTATTCATATTGTGTATATAAATGACATCTGCCCCGTTTCAACACTACTTAAATGTGTCTTATTAGCCGACGACAAAACTTTCTACTGCTCCGGGGATCTCTGAAACGGCTTCTGACGACTGTGAAAAAAGAATTGAAGACATGAAAAAAAATGGTTTGACATTGAAAAAAAAATCCGAACTAAACTTGAAAAAAAAAACCAAATCAAGTTGATTGTATTTAGCAGTAGAGCATCCAAACACCAAGTTGAAATGATGGTTCTTTGTTTTTTTTTCCCATCCATCCTCCACACGTTGCTGCTGCTGCGCGGATGCGGCGTCATCAGCATGCAATGCAAATGCGCCTGTCGGGTTGGATTTTCAGATGAGACCGCCGTCTTGGAAATCAGATGCAGTCATTGGGGAGAGTCTCACAAAAGATTCCTAACACGAGTTTGTGTGGGTGTCTTGAGAAGTGAATGGTGCCGAAATGGGTTTGAAAACCACACGTGGCCCTTTATTTGAATGGCACTTTGATTAGGACCCCAAAAGATGGGGGGGTTGCATATTTGGAAGTTGACCTTTTCAATAGGCTTGTTCATTTGAATTAAGGCCTTCTTGGGATTTTGAGGGGAGGGCTGGGGGGGGGGTTTCAAGATATCATATTGGAGGCCATCCCCGGCTGTGGTTGGGCGGGAGGTGGGGTACTCGCTCACTGTAGCAATCGTTTGTAACGATCAGTCAAACGACATCTGGTCTCTTGAAAGGCAGCACTGCATATTGTTGCTCTCCCTGACAAAAAAAATAACTTTCAGCTCAAACCAAAATGGACAGCTTTTGTATGAAAAAAAATAAGACCGTTAAAGGCAGCGACATGAGAAAGCTTTTCGATTATTTGGGGATCTTTCCATAAAGCTGACCAAGAGAATCCACGCTGAGCGCCGTCTCGCCACAAACGAACTCTTGAGAACTGCGTCACCGGGTTGTGAGACGGCTTGCTTGCAGGTAATTCTGACTTGAGCCACAGGAGGCGGGGGCTGGGGGGGGGCGGGGAGCAAGATGAGAAAGTAGATGAAAAAACTCTAATTTAATCTGGCACAGTCAGAGAGACTGTGGGGAAATGCTCGGCTTTTTGATTTGCCTCTCATCCCCGGCTTGTGGTGAGGAGGCGCGATGGAGCCGCACCGCCGCCGCCGCCGCCACGGCGGGGAACGCCAACCGGGGCCGACCGGCGGGGGAGGTGTTGAGCGGCTTGGCGAGGTGAAGGTGAACAAAGGGATAGAAAATGAGAACGAGAGAAAATCCTATTCCCAGTCAAAGAATATCATTATCTCTGGAGAAACACAAGACGACAAAAAGGTCTGCCCTTGGCGTGTCGCAAGGTTCAAGCCGGCTCAAAATAGCTGCTCGTGGATGACGCAGACGGACATGGCAATTGCTGTCAAAGTCAATCGACATTTTGTAATTAAAAAAAAAAAAAAAAAAAAAAAAAAGAAAGCGCTAACACTACAAAAGGACTAAATAATTATTCGAAGAGCTCTCTTCCAAAACGACAAAAAAGCCAAATGCAAAAGTGATCGATCCCTTCCCATTTATTGCGTACATAATATGAGCTGTCACTATTTTTTTTAATCGATTAATTACATAAGCCGATTCCATTTAAATTTGCATTCACGCATATTACAAAATCATTTTTTGCCCGACTACTGATCATTAACCAAGCACTGTGTGGTGATAAACAAAGCAAAAAAAAAAAAACCCAAAACATTTAAGCAATAAGACACAAGAGTGACTCGCCCATCTTTTTGATTCACTTCCCAGTTCGGTCAAATAAAAGCAGATGTTTGCAAATGTCTTATTTGGACTGAACAAACAAAAGCAGATGTTTGCAAATGTCTTATTTTGAGTAAACAAACAAGACAAGCAGTCTGCTTTCATGAAAGACGACAGAAATCAGCGCGGAATTACTGCCGAGAGGCTTTGGACCACTTCAAGGTAAACAATGGCTCTGAACGATGACTCCATTTTTGAAAGATAAATCGATTCATTCTCAGAATAATCCAAATAGGCTGAGATCATTTTTGAAAAGACAATGACAGGAGGCATTTTAATGGCTGGTGAAATGACTGCGGGTGGGGACGATGGCTTGTAATTGCCCATCAGAAATGAAAATAGTCTCTTAGCAGTCTGACGGCAAATACTTCCGACAACAGCTTTCTTGTTGTGCGGTGACTGCGGAAACCGACGCCACTTTTTGGAACAATGAATCTTAACTTGAAAATTTGCTGTTTACGCACGATACAAAGAAGTCTGCACGGCGTCTCTGATGGCACAGCAGCGGCCGCAGAAGTCTGCAAAATGCAGGAATGGGCGAGAGCCGCAGGGGTGACGCCGCGTGGGAAGAAAGGAGGGAACGTGTTGTTCCGTGTTCCAGACTTTAATATCTGACAGTCGGTCATTTATCATGGTGGACCGCTGATTGTGAGAGAAGGGAAAAGGTGGCGAAAAGCCGAGCCGGAGTATCAATATGAATTTTTATTTGATGGCTTTTGCGGGAGATTGCATTTCGGCGGGGGAGGGGGGGG